ATCCCAGGCGCGAACCGAGGCACTGCTTGTCAAGCCATGCTGTGGTGGCGTCCCATATAAAATAGAGGAAGATGGGCACGGATGTTAGCCCAGGGCCAGTCTTCCTCAGCAAAAAGAGGAGGATTGGCATTGGATGTTAGCTCAGGGCTAATCTTCCTCACACACACACAAAAAAATGTGATCCTTGCCGAGAAATTCATCAGGAAGGAACCCATATTGAGAAAATGATCTGAAAAGGGAAAAGAGGAAAAGGCCCTTACAAATGGTGTTGAAACAAGTTATCCTGACAGCTCTGTTCAGGATGGCTGGCATAGAGAGATGATGTGTTCACACGGGCCAATAAAAAAGCTACTGCAGTTTATTACTTATGAGATCTAAAAAATTATTACCAACATCCAGTAGCTTATCAAATAAATTATGATGCAAAACCTTATAATGAAATATTATGCAACCATTAAAACTAATAGTGGGGAGCAGAGGTCTGCAAACACCGAGTGCATCGGAATCAGCCAGGGAGCTGGTCAAAGGTACAGACGCCCAGGTTTCACACCAGCCCTTCTGAAGCAGACTCTCCACAAGTGGAGTTGGGGCATTTGGAGATTTAACAACTTCCCAGGTGACTCTAATGCACGAACCAAACTGGGAAAACTCTTCAAAAGCAAAGCCAATTATGAAACAATATGCATTGTATTGTGTTTGATTACCATTTGATTCAGCTGCATGTGAAAGACACACACACACACACACACACACACACACACACACACGCACACGCGCACACACACACACCTTACATACACACACACACACACACACGAGTAACAATAGCTGAAACAAAATAAAAGTGCATTTCTCATGTAAATGAAGCCCAGAAGTGGACAGTCCAGTTGACAACTCCACAATGATGTTAGGGACCTGGTCTACTTCCAGCTCACCACTCCACCATACCTAGACTATAGTCTCATTCTCATAGTCCAAAATAGCAGCTAGCATTCCAGCCATCACATCCTCATTCCAAACGAAGAAGGGAGGGAGTGAAAAAGAAGAAGGGGCAAATGGACTATGTGTTGGTTCACAAACTGGCCCCCAGACACAGAGGGCAAGGAGAGACCAAAGAAGGAGGCAGACCACTCCAGATTGGTAGGTGGCAGGTTTAATAAGCAAGGTAACTCACAAGGTTTGTCTTGGACGGCCACAAGATGCATATATCTCTGCACCTGCTCACTAGAATCTTAAAATTTTATAAAGAGGCCTTAACTGGATTCTGTCACGAACACCGTCCAGATGGTCTCAACACCTTACTCTCTCAAGTCTGTGTCCTTGGAACAGCTCCCACTGGGGGAACTGTAGGCAGAGTGTACATTCCAAGGTCAGGGGAGGGGGTGAGGAACCTCCGATTGCCCAGGTCCGGCTCGAGGGTCAACCGGCGGTCACATCCTCTTGATTACCTCCTCCAACAATATGTCAACTGTTATTGTCAGGAGACTTCCCAGAAGTTACATCACAACATTTCATTTACATTGCCAGAATTTAGTCATACAGCCACGTCTAACCACAAAGGAGGCTGGGAAAAGTCTCTTTCCAGGAGGTCGTGCACTCAGCTGAAAACTAGAAATTCTATGACTAGGAAAATTTGAGACAACCTACATGGGGTACACAAACAGCAATCTCTATCAGAAGTATAATATTAATAGGGGGAGTACATATTGATTTGAACCACATGAAATTAACATTTTTAGTTAAAAATAGACAAATATCAGCAATTCATATGGTTCATTCTATTTCTATGGAAAAAGTCTAAAAAGATATACAGTACGTAAAGATGTAAATACTGTTCATCTCTGGTTGGTGGGATCTCGGGTAGCCATGCATTATTTGTGTAATTTTTTAAAATAATGATCATAATATGTATCTCCCCCAAAAAAGGTTAAAAACAGCATGTAAGTTATAATCACATTTTTATAAAATGCATGAATACAACTTGTGTGTTTATCTATGCAAATATATACATATACAAAGAAAACAAGACTTTAGGTACATGCATCAATCAAAATGTTACTTTTGGATAGCAGACTATAAATAGGTTTTTTTTTTCCCTTATATTTTTCTGTATTTTTTTCCAAATTTCTAACCAAAAACTTGTAATACTCTTATAATAAGAAATTAAAAGAGGAAATTTTAAGACCAGCAACAAAGCATTGCCATGATTGATGTCTGCAGTAGAGAAGGTCTGGCTGGGCGTAGCAGCAAATGGTTAAAATGGAACTAATGGAAACATTCACAAATTCATTCCACAACAATGAATGGAGGCCCCAGTGTGCCAGGCCCTGTTCTAGGCTCCGGGGACGCAGGGTTAATAAAATAAGCCACGTCCATGCTCTCCTGGAGCTCACAGTCTGGTGGGGAGACAGATAATTACCAAGCAGAAATAAAAAATAATAATAGCTAGGATTTGTGGCCCAGTTATACGAGCCACGCACTATTCTAAGCACTTTATAAATATTGACTGGTTTCCTCTGAAAAACAACTTAATGAAGTAGGTACTACTACCATCTCCAATTTACAGAAAACGGAGACACAGAACAGTTGAGTCATTTGCCAAGGTCACCCAACTAGTTACAGTGTAGCAGCCCCAGGATTTATACCGCCTTGGAATAGCCCCACTCCAGGACTATGGATTTATCCACCAACTGGTAGGACCCAGGCTTTTATCATGATAAGAATTTCCTGAGGCACTTGTGAAATACATGCGAATTACCAGCTCTTGCCATAGGAAATTCTGGTGCAGTGGTCTGGATTGGAACTTCAGAATTTGTTCTTAGCAAGACCACTGGTCTTTCTTCTCTTCAGGCAAATATGAAAAATACTGTTTTCCACAAAAGGAGTCTGTGGCAACAGAAATCAGAATGGTGCTTACCTCACCAGGCGTGGGGAGCTGCAGCCTCACTGACTGGGAAGGGATGTGAGGCTGGAAACGGTCCGTATCTTGATCGGGGTAGCGGTTACCCAGGTGTGCACGTATGTAAACATTCATCAAGCATTAAAAAATAAATGTTGCCCTAAGCTGCAGTGCCTTTCTGGACCATGTAAGCTGGGAATGGGTATAATGAAGGTGATGTAGCAGAGAGTACCAAGGGGGCAGGTGCTTCAGACAAGAGACAGGAAAATTGTCTTGCATTTGGCCCTGGATGACAGAAAGAAGCCAGTCCTGCAAAGACCAGCAATCCAGGCAAGGGGAGGAGCAGACACAGAGCCCGCGGGGCAGGGAGAGCTGGGCGGGTTTCAGGAACAGCAAGGAGGCAGGTGCAGCTGACCTGGGCAAAACAGGAGTTGTAAGGCTTGCAGTGGGACTGGTGGGCAGTGGCCAATCCACATCTAGCTCATGCCTGGCACAGGGCTCTCACTCCCGCCAATTCCTCAGGCTGGAACTGCCCCACCCCTATTCAAATATTATCTGCTCAGGGAGGCCCTCCTTGAAGGTTCCTGCAGCCACTATCACACTCTTGTTTTATGTCTCCTGAGACCTTATGACTACCAAGAAATTACACTGCTGATTTGATTATTGAGTGTTGACTGGATCCCTAGCCACTACAAGTTCTATTAGAGCAGGCACCAAATCGTTTGGATCAACTTTGAACCTCCAGGGACTAGCACAGTGCCTCTACTTAGAAATAAATACTTGCTGGAGGAATAACAAACTCTTAAAGGAAGCAGCAGGGAAAATTCCATTAGTTATACAAGCCATGTTTACTAAAAGCCTACTATGTGCCAACTCAGCCAAGTTGCTGGGGATGGATATATCAGTGAAGCAAAGAGATTCAAAAAAAAAGAAAAAGAAAAAACTCCTGCTTTCTTGGGGACTTATTGAATGTAAGGGGGAAAGGGAAACAAGCAAATTATCTATTTCGATAGATAGATAGATAGATATAGATGATGATGATAGATAGATAGATAGATAGACAGACAGACAGATAGAGAGATAGATGATAGACGGAGATACTCCAGATATATAATGTTAGATGTAATAAGTTCTAAGAAGAAAGATAAAGCAGACCGGAGGGGGACAGGGAGCGCTGGGTGGGGGAAGAGGGGACTGCAGTATTAGAATGGGCTAGCCCAGGAGGGCCTAGGGATGTGAATGCGAATCAAGACCTGACGGCCTTAGGGAGGGAGGGTGGCAGGTGGATACCAGGGGACAGCGAGCGCAAAATCCTGGAGGCTGGAGAGCGCTTGAGGCTGACGCCTGAGGGAAGGAGAGAGCAGCGGGAGGCGAGGTTGGGCGAGCGGGGACAGACCAGGCAGGGCAGTGTCCACCAACATCAGGGGCTTCATCTGGGAACTTAGGAAAGCTCATCCTCAGGCCTCGCCCCAGACCTACTGAATCAGAACCCCTGGGGTGGGTCCAGCGGTCTAACACGTCCTCCAGGAGGCTGTGTGCACGCTCCAGCTGGCGGACCCTGGCGCAGGGGGCCTTGAGCGTTGGATACCAGCTGTTAGTCTTATCATCCACGTGATCGCGGTCCTCTTCATTTTACCAGCTGGGCAGGGGACCCGCCCAGCGCTCTGCTGATTTGCCGGGCACCGAGGCTCAGCGGGGATTTCTCCCAAGACCCCGCACCCCGCGCACCCACCCCCCAACTGCAGCCCGACGCGGTCCTCTCTGCAGACCACGCCGGCGACCGGGAGCGACGCGGCTGCCCGGCCGCCTTGGGGACCGCACGCCCAGGGCGGCAGGTGCAAAGGCGCCGGAGCCGGGGAGGCCAGAGGCGTGGGCCAAGACCGCAAGGGTGCGGGCGGGGCGGCGGCTGCCGCAGCCCGGGGGGCGCATCCCTCGCCGCCCGCGGTCGCCCAAGCCGCCGGGACGCGTGTGCGCCATCCAGATCCCGGGGGATTCCGCGGGTCCGGGGCCGCGCGCCCGGGCATCGGGATTGGCCCGCGGCTTCCCCCGGGAGCCGCTGATGCAAAGCCAGGTTGGGGCGGCCGGGGCCGGCCAGCGCCCTCTAGGCAGCGGAAGTGGAGCTTGCTTTACATCCGTCCTCCCCGCCTCGCAGAGTTGGGAGAAGGAAGGCTGGGGGGTGTGGAAAAATAAAAGGAAAAGTCCTTGCACCATGTAGAGCAGCGCCCCCCACCCTGGCACCCCCTCCGGCCGGAGGCCACCCAGTCTGCGGCCATGAACGCGAGCAGCGAGGGCGAGAGCTTCCCGGGCTCCGTGCAAAGTAAGTGCTTTTCCGGACGCAGTGCGCGCTCCGGGGCCCAGTGCGCGCTCCGGGGCCCGGGCCCAGGCACGTCTGCGACGCAGCGAGCAGGCCCGGGGCCCCGAAATCGGGGTGACGGCCCCGAGCCGGCGTCTCGGGAACCGCGGCGGGCGCGCCGTGCAGGGGCGCCGGAGTGGGCTTGGGGCGGGGGCACCCAACCCGGCGCCAGGCGGGGGACGCTATCCAGCCTCGCAAGACCCCTTGGAAGGAACGGTGGGGGAGGGCATGCCGTTCAGACAATCGCCACCCCCTCGGGGCATTCCACGCCCCCCAGGCGGAGTTTGGGGGATTTGGGGTAACCGCGGCAACGATGATGGGAAAACTTCTGCCTGGGTGGCTCAGAATCCTTGAAGTCTGGGGAGCCGAGGTCCCACGAGTTCTGGCCGGCTTGGCTTGCCGGCGCACTGCAAAGCCCTTTCCACATGAAAGGTGGAGATCTTTCTCCACCATGGGCAACGGGGCCATGGTCGCTTTCTTTGAGTTTAGGGTTCATTTTAATTTTCCTGATGAGGACAGCAGCCTTTTTCGCCCGTGGCATTGTTTCCCAAAGTGTGGTCCAGGGACGGAGCGCAAACCAGCCACCTGGGAGTGCGAGCGCTTATTTTAAAAAAAAAAAAAAACAAGCTCTCGCGGCCCCACCCATCGGATGGATGGGAGGGATCTGCCGGCCTTACCCTGGGCGATTCGCAGCCACGTCAAGTTTGAGCACCCCTGGCACGGGTTTGCACACACCTGGCACATAGCAAGCGCTTAGCTTGTTAGCTGTTACTGTTAACAGTTTTGGAGACGCTGCCTCCCAAACTTGGCTGGCTATCCCTCGCATAACTTGTAAAAAGCACAGATTTCCCTAAACCCCAGCCCCCTTCACCCCACCTCCATTGTGACTCCTTGTCTCCAAAGAGGGGCTCAGATGTGTCCGTGTTTAACACACCACCCCCCACCCCAGCGCATTATTCTGATGCCGAGACTGAGACAGGTTTGGAGAACTTTGCAAAGATAAAGGAATCTTTTTGTTGTTGAGCACCTGTCTGTGTCCAGTGGTTTTTATTTGGTCTTTTGATTCTCACTACAAGCCCAGAAGGTAGGTATAGTTTATCCTTCCAAATTATCAGAGAGGGGTACTTTCACAATCAAATAGGGTACCTCAGTGATAACCCCAGCAGGTGACATGCTGAGGGATGGGGACCCCCGTGCTGGCCTTGCACAAGCACCGTCTCCTTTCATCCTCATAACCATCCTGTGAAGCAGAAACTTTTCTCCTCCCTGTTTCGTCCTGGGTACCAGTCCTAGTGATCACTAAGGAATCCTCAGCCATACAAGTCACTTCATCCCTCATCCCTTGTTTTCCTCTTAGTCCCGTGGGCACCTCAGTAGCTACAGGGAGGCAGTGGTCCAGAGGAGAAGAAAAGGCTTCCTTCCTTCCATCCATTGATTTCAAAGTATGTAAGCGCACAGGGCACCGGACAAGACGGCTTATAAGACCGTACCACGCTCAGCCCCCAGTCTCTCTCCTCAGCAACTCAGCCAAATGGTATTTCCACAGAGAGATTTCTTGTCTTAGTTAGACGTGGGGAAAATTGGGCATAATGTAAATATTTTATAAATTTTCAGAAAATTGTGATGCCTGGATGCCAACCATATATGCACAAAGGTAGTTCTCATATTATTTAGACTTGGGAAAGATTAGAAATAAAATAAAGACCTTATAGTTACTGAGAAGATTACAAGGCATGGATCACATGGTGTAATGTGTTGTTATTAAATAATTATATTTAAAGAGAGATTTTAATGATATAGCACAATGCTTATACCATATTGTGTGGGAAAAAGATTGATTTTATAATACATTTTGATCTTAACCAACTTTTAATTGAAAATGAATGGAAAAAAATATTTTGTAATGTTCATGGTACTCATAGGTGGAAAGATTGTAAGTGATTTCCACCCACTCCCCGCTTCTCTTCCAAGTTTTCTGTTATAAACATGAGTTTCCTTATAATAAGGCAAAGAAAAAATTTTTAATAAAAATTAAGGTAGTCATATTAGTTAGAGACATTAATTAATTGTATTTCTTTACTTAACAAACATTTATATAGCACTTTCTAATATAGTGCCAAGTACTATGGTAAGTGCTTTGCAAATGTTAACACAGTATTAACTCATGATATCATTACTATTGAGAAATAATGTCCCTATCAGTTAGGGATGAATTTTGGCTACAAGTAACAAAACTGAACTATACTCGCCCAATCAGAACTCTGGAATTGGTTGATTCCAGGGTTAATTCAGGAGTTCAGAGAAATAAGGGCCAGTATCTGTAGGGATGTCAGCATTTTCCTCATGGTTACAATATCGCTGCAGAAACCCCTGGCATCACGTCTGCATTCAAGCCCAGAAGAAGAGGGAGACAGTGCCAACCATGTCTGCTCCCTTTTTACCCCAAAAGCCACACTTTTCCCAGAAGCTCCTCCAGCATTGTGCTGGAGGGGTTCCCAAGTAGTAGGGGACCCGAGGTTATTTAGACTAGTGGTTCTCATGGGGAGAGCAGGGGTTGGAAAAGTGGGGGGATTGGTTTTCATCATGATTGGGAAGTACAGTGACCTTTTAGTTGGGGTAGGAGATGGCTGCTGGTCCTTCGAAGTGGAGGGCAGCCCTCACATCAAAGAACTTTCTTGCGTGAAAGGCAGCTAGTGCCCCTGTCGGCAGTAATGCATCGTGAGGGTCCTTTGCTGCTAGGACAGAACTGGGATTCTGTTTGTAAGGAAGAAGAAGGGAGTGGCATGGATGCTGGGACAGCAACGAGCCATGTCTGCCACCGTGCCCTTGTCCTACCAGGAATCTGGTTTGTGTTGGCATTTCCGACTGTTTGGAATTAATCTGTGACTTTGCTTTGTCCCCTGGAGTTCCAGGTGGCACCACGGTGCTGGTGGAGCTGACTCCTGACATCCACATCTGCGGCATCTGCAAGCAGCAGTTTAACAACCTGGACGCCTTTGTAGCCCACAAGCAGAGTGGCTGCCAGCTGACTAGCACGCCCGGGGCGGCCCCCAGCACGGTCCAGTTTGTATCGGAGGAAACGGTGCCTGCCACGCAGACTCAGACCACCACCAGAACCATCACCTCGGAGACCCAGACGATCACAGGTACGTCCAGGCTGGGGGAGCCCGCAAGAGGTGGCCTGACTTGTCCCAGACCCCCCACCCTGAGGAACTTGTTAAAAATACAGACCCAGGCCCGCCCCCCCAGGGTTGCTGATTCATTATTTTTAACAAGCTCCGCTGGGAAGACAGCTGCCCAGCCAGGTCTGGGAACTGCTAGGTTAAAACATTAAGTGTTAGCAGTTATAAATTGTTGTCACATGTTAAATAAAACAAACGGGCAAAAAACAGATTTCTAAAACAAAAACCTATATACGAAGAAAAAAATACTTGTAGGAAATACATTGCGATAAAAAAAGGAAGATGGTTATTTTGGGTGGTGGGAGTATGTGTGTGATCCCTGAATTTGCATTATTTGTGTGAAGGCACAAAAACCATGGGGTTTTTTTTGTTTTTAAATCTACAAACAGGCATTGACGCCTCCCCTCCCCTGTGCTGCCAACCAGGAAAACAAAATTTCATCCCAGTTCTCCCTTGTGTCCACTCTCTCCACCAAAAATAAATTGTAGATGGATCTAAAACTTAACTGTGCACAGGGAAACCGTAAAAGTTCTATAGTAAATGTGATACACACACAGAGACACATACACACTTACATACACACACCTATACTTATACCTGTATAATTTATCTGAAGGGACCAGACAGCTTAAAAAATATGAAGTAACCCATTTATGAGATAGTACAGGCACTGCTGGGTCCTGTGGGGAAATGGAGAATGTATTCCTTAGCTAAAAGCATTCAAATTTTTAAATTAAACATATATCTTTATTAATACTGTGCCTACCAAAGAAGACAGGTTGTGGGACTCCCCCCACCACCCGCAAAAGAAAAAGAAGCATATGTGTGGTTGTAAACAGAGTTATAATTTTTCCAAAGTAAAAACAATGTATTGAAAAGTCTAAAGACAAACAACCAACTGGGGGCAAAAATTGCAGCATATATGACTAAGGCCTAAGGTCCCTCATATATAAAGAACTCTTAAAATCAATAAAAGTAGAGAAAAAGAACCAGGTGGAAAAGTTGGCAAAGGCAGCAGATGATATGCAAGAGGCCACCAAACATAAAAGGATGCTCCATCGCCTTAGTAATTAAAGAAATGCAAATCAGAAGAAGGCTTGGGGGGGATTCTACTTTCATTTTCTGGGGATGTAAATTCATGTAATCTGGGTCATATGTGATATCTTTTAAATTTAACATCTTAAGTTTAACATTTAAAATCTTTCCATTTTTAAAATGTGCATAAACACATTTACCCAGTAAGCCCACTTCTAGGTGTTTATCCTATAAATCTTCATAAGCAAATGTACAAGAATATTCATTTACAGTATATACTATAAAGAAAGGGGAACATTTGTGTGTACACATGAAGAGTAAATTTGATAAATATTGGAGATTCAGCCAATGGAATATGACTTAGCCATGAAAAGGGGAGCTAGATCTGTGTATAGACACAGAAAGATTCTTAAGTATGAAAAAAGCACATATACATAAATACATAGTATTATATTCAAGGAAAGCTTCTAGAACAGGAATGAGGCAGGTATGTTAATGAGAGAAGTAAGCTGTGCATTAGGCATTAGGGAATGATAGGGACTGTGGTAAAGTGGAGAAAGCTGCTCTTGGGATCCAGTCAGATATTTGGGTTTTTCTGAGAAGCTGAAAAATATAAAATTTCCCAAATTTTAAAACTTTGTTGGCCAAACAAAATACATCTAAGAGCCTGATCGAGCCCACAAGCTTCTGCTAGCTTATTCTCAACAGTGTTTACCAAACAGTTTATCTGGAGCTGGGAGTGGAAAAACTCTGAAGTGGGGGAACCGACTTTCACCTTATCAATTGTATCTTGGTGTGATGTTTGCATTTTTTGGCAGTAAGCAGAGTTTTGTGGTTGTTTCCTTAATGCACCCAAAATAATGTTTCTGCTGAGTTTTTAAAACATTGAAATGAAATTAACTGATCACCTCACAAACCTTAGTACAAGTACCTTGAGGTCTTCCCACTTTCTCCTGAGTTTATCTTAATTCTCGTCTTAGAGGAAGTCACCAAGAAATGTGAAAACTAAAACCACCTTAGAGACGGCCCTGGTACAACCTGCTTATCTTACAGCTGGACGAAGTGAAGCTGCAAATGGGGACCAGACACGGCCGAGGTCCCACCACGAGTTCAGGACAGTCCTGGGACTTACGTGTTTTGGCCCTTCCCCTAGCGGTCTTCTCCCTGAAGACTCAGCGTTTGGTTCCCTGTCCTCAAAAACAAACTCCCAGGAGCCCCACACACTGGGTGTGAAGCCTATGAAACAACGCCCCAGGCTGCAGAGGCTGCAAGGCCCATCCTTTATTTGTGGCCATTGCGTCTTCCTGGGTTCTGAGCCTCTGCTTATGCTGTTCCCTCTGCCTGAAATACTTTTCCCGCCTTTACCTGGCATGACAGTCTACACACAAAGGATCTGGTTTCATCCCGGGACACCCACCTCCACTCTCTTTTGCAGCAGCCATGATGATCTCCTTTCTGTTTTCCAAATGAGCCACGTTTCCTGGGTTTCGGAGCCTTGGTATGTGTTGCTCCCCCTGCCTGGAACTGACGTAATTCTTACACATACGTCAGAGCTGAGGGTGAGGGCATTTCCTCACAGAGCCCTTCTCTGACACCGCACACGCAGTGTTCTCCCAGACCAGGTCAGTGCCCGGAGTTCAATGATTATTTGCAGAACTGATTATCTGAGGTCTGTCCCCTCACTGAACCGCCCCGTGTGGTCAGGGGCTGCACCCCTCGCCTTCCCCGCTGGATCCCCAGCACCATTCTAGCCACTGGTTCTTTGTCGAGTAAATGAGCAGCTGCCCAAATCTCACATCCGTCAGTGAAGCTGACGCCACCCCAATACCCGCTCCTCCGCCTCTCCTCCTAGTTCTTTGCTCAGAGACGCTCACCCTCCTCTTAGCATTTCCACTGCCCTGCAATCATGCGCTCTTGCTATGCCTCAGTTTACCCACCGCCCTGTAGGCTCAGGCCAGGCCTGCAGCCTCCTTGTGCCCGGCTCACGGTGGCCCCGCTGCGCAGTGTGGAAGGGAGCTCCATGCTCCAGAGACGGGCGGCTGGACCGGCATCGCAGCCCATCAGCCAGCCGCCCGGACTGTGGGCCAGTCACTTGCTCTCGGCTCCAGATTCCGCCTCTGTAGGAGGGGCTTACAGTGATGCCGCAGACTATCAGGTAATAGAATTAGGCGCCTAACGCCTAACATCATCAGGTTGTTGTCAGGACTCTGTGATAATGCACATAAGGGACCCAGGACAGAGTAATTGGGCCCAATAAACGACCGCTTTTATGAATATAGAGATGGACAAGTGCTGGATGGAGGTGCGGTGTGCAGAATGCCTCCTCTGCCTGGCTCAGCTGTTCTTCCTCATTGTTCCTGCTTCTGCGCCACAAATGAGCAGAGTCTTGCTTTTTCCCCTTTCTTTTACACTATTTAGTTTGGTTTTCTGGCCCCAACTCCCCGCAGGTTTGCCCTCGGTGTTCCACTTGTGGCATTCCCAGACCTGCCTGTGAACCAGGATCCTGGGGGTTTGTTAGAGATGCCGGTGCCCGGGTCATACCTCCTGAACCCGAGTCTCTGGCGCTGAGGCTCGGGCATCTGTATTTTTAACAAGCTCCCCAGGGGATTCTGGGTCTCAGCCAGGTCACAGAGTCACTCACTGCCCCAAGGCCATGGTCGGAGCCCAACACTGGTGGATTTCTCCAGACACCGTCACCCAGACAAGGTCCCGACTTGTTGTCGCTCTTCAGTCCTTGGTTAAGCCAACCCTTCCTCACTCGGCTCATACGTCCTCCAATAGTAGTTGGACATAAAGTAAAATTCTGTGTCTTCTAGCTTTGAAAGCTCCCTATTGTTTGGCATTTGATTTGAGAACTTGCACATAGGAGCAGTCAAATTAGATATTGATGCTGGTGAAAAAAACTAGCATCCCACATGCATTTTCTAAGTTCACGGCTTAAAATTATGGGGATTGGGAGTCAGGCCTCTGAGTTTGAGTCTTGGTTGTCTAGGGCCTTATGAGCCACGTGACTGTGACAAATTATAAGAGCTCGTGGTGTCTCATGTTTAAATAAGGACAAGAATAAATAGAAAGCCCGTGGGGTTTGGTAGTTAAGAGTCTGGGGTCCTGAGCCAGACAGCCTGGGTTCAAGTCCCGGCTGCACCACTTGCTGGGCAGGCAGCCTAGGGTCTCAGTGTCTCTGTTTCTTGTGAAATGGGAGTAAAAATGGTACTCACCTTAGAGGGTTCTAGCCAGGCTCGTTGAGCTCCTACATGGAAGACACTTAGAGCTGTCAGTGTTAGCTCTCATTACTTACCAAATCAGGCAGCTGTGAAAATTAAATGAAACAGCACACTGAAAATGTTAGCACAGGGCCTGACTCATGACGAGCCCCCCAACAATATTAGTCAAATTAATCACTTGACCTAGAATGATCTTTCCTGCCTCTTCTGGTTAATTCCTATTCTTTAGGTCCCAGGTGAAAAGTCACCTCCACCTAGAAGCTAGCCGTGATTTCCCCCCTCCCCCGACCCTTGAGATTAGGTTTCTCACTGCTCCCTCACGTAGCACTTATCCCAGTTGTAATTAATTAGTTATTTCATGACAAGCAGTCTTCAGTTAGCCAGAGAAGTGAGTTCGGGTGCTGTCAGGGGTCCGGCAATGGCAGCAAACACAGCAGCAGATCCAATATGATGGAGGGCGGGAGGGCCCGTGGGCAGCCAGCTAAGAGGAAAGCAGCACCCGACAGCCAGGAACAGGCCCGGGAACATCATCGGCCAGCTCTTGGTGTTGCTAGGAGTGGCCTGGCTCTCACAGGCAGGCCGTGCCGTCCTGCTGTGGAACAGAAACAGCTTCCCAGCGCGTCAGCATGAGGCAGGGCCACTCTGTGACTGTGGTGGGACAGGACAAAAACAAGAGCCCTCCGTGGTCATATCTGGGCCACAGAA